TATATTCGAATATGGTAAAAGAAATAATCCTGAAAATTGTTCCATCAAAAAGTTCATCTTTAAGGGGTTTGTATCTGGTTCTATCTACAATTGTCACGAAAAAAAAATCGTTTCTGATAGAAATTAAGGTAGAAGCATCTACAGAAATGTCTATGAGAGAGTTGATGATCAGATAACCATATAATTTCAAATAATTCCAAAATGACGTAACATGTTGTGCTCTAGCCTAACATAAGGAATGTGCAACAAATTATTAAAAGAACATACTCCTTAAAACGACTAAAACTCCTTTAAAAGCCATCATTAACTCAAAAACATAAACAAGCACGATTAAATATCGTAGAGGAAAAGATACAATGAAGAAATATATTTTTCGATGAAAATCGAATAGATGTTCCTGAACTCGTGAACCAGTACCTTAAAACCTTAAAAATACCTATTATAAAACACTGCACAATTGTCCCCCTAAATGAAACAGTAGCACAAATAATATAATAAAAAAATCTGAGAGAGGATGTAAAAATTCTACCAATATTTTTGAACGTTGTTCTTTATAAATTCACTCACACTCGAAAATATGTTTGTACGAATACGGGTGTTTCTGAGTAAGAACCACCACTTGGCGTTCGTGTTTCAAATTTAATGTCTCTATTTTGAAACTGACATTTCAGATATGTGTTCCAAAATAGAGCCATTGAATATGAAACACGTGGACATGGTACTAGAACGGTGTTCCATAATATATGTATACTTGCACGCTCGTACTTCACTATTTTGTTCGTATTATTTTTGATTCGTGTTAAATAAATATTTGAAGGTTCATTACGATATCTAGAAACACCAATTTATCGAACATTATTATACATATTCGACAATAACACTTTCGAATTGTAGTAAAATCGATGATAATCTTATATCGCCTGAAAATCGTTCCATGAGAGGTACTTTAACCTTACTAGATTGTTTGCCTGTTTCCAGCATTGTGTTAGCGTGGCCGGAGGTGGCGGCGGAGGTGGAGGTGGTGGCGGTGGGACGGTCGCCGGCAGTCGGCTGAACCTACACCTTCGTTCTTGCGGAGGCAGCGGTGGCGGTACCGGCATCGTCGGAAGTGACAGTGTTTCGGATTACCCGCCAAGCGCTGCGGCAGCGCGGAGCCGGGAGGCGGCGGCGGCGGCGCTGCACGCGGCAAGAACCCTGTTGGGCGCGGGGGTGGCCAACCCTTGCTCACCCACCCCCGAACCGCCCTTCTGGAAGATGCCACATAAAGGTTGGTCGAACGAGCTTGTTTGTTTACACTATCCGGTGGAATCTTAGAGTCGCTTTTCTCCCCCTCTCGAGCTTTCACCTCAGCCCTGTTCCCTTGAAACTTTACCGTGGTGCTACGGTCGCTGTTTAAAAAGATACCAGTCGGATCGTTTAGCCCCTTCTGGAACACTACGAGACGATTATACTGTACGCGCAGGTCAGAGAAACTGGTCGTCGTTAACCTCTTGTTTGATGTTTAACCTTTATCAGCCGGACGATGATATATCGTTGTTTTCTAGGACAATTGTAATGTTTAATTTAATCGTGTATCTTATTTATTCATTGTAATCTTTATACGTTGCTCAGCTTGTATTAACGTTTCTCTTGTATTTTATTCGTACACGGGTATATGTGTTTTTAAACGCACCAGCTGCATTTTTTGAGGGGAGGAAAATGCGTAAACGGGTTGTAATGCTTCGTTCTGTAATTAACTCTCTGCTTGAAGGTAATTGTAATCATATATTCCGTAGTTTCTTGATTAGTTTCTCCCATTAACATTGGATTGCCGGAGCGAGTCAATTTGACTCATTTACGATATTATTGCTATATATATGTAGAAAAATTTAAATTATTTTTTTAAAAACATATGTTGGTCATAATTCTATTAAAAACCAATGTTAAAAAATACCATATGTTCTGAAAAAAATAATTTAAGTTTTCCTATACACATATAGCAATAAAATCGCAAATGAGTCAAATTAACTCGCTTCGGTAATCAAACGTTAAGTCTCGTAGAGTTTGCATTGCCATAATATACGATAAATGTCTCCACTTTCATGGAACATTTGCATTTAGGATTATGTGTGATATTTGTAGGAGCAAGAGGGGCAGCTACATTGTAAAGATCTCATCTTACACGATTTATAGTAACTACAAAGTTTTTAGAATAATTGTCATAATAATAACATGGTTTTTCAATATCTTTACAAAAAAATAGACGTACCTTTTCCTTTCTGGAAGGCTTAGATCTTCGATCAAATTCGAGGTTTCAATTTTAATTCTCTTTATTCGTTTGAAATATGTATTTTAAATAGAGCACACTCGGCAGGATTAAAGTGTAAAAAAAGTAGGTGAAAACTACAGGACGAGTTTTTGGGAATAACTATTTTTGAAGAGCGTATAAAGCTTAAATAGAAGCTCTAAAACTAGAAAGCTCTAACAGCGTAGCGGCGGAAGGAAACATAAAGCAAGGGGTTAACATGTTAATTAACACACAGTGCACACATTTGAATTCAGAATTTGAAATTAGAACATATTTGCTATGTTTTCAAAGATAGAATAGTAGTACCCTCTGAGGGTTACTGAACATTTTTATCATCATTCAAATCCTTGCGTATCAATCTTTTTCACGTATTTTTGGATGTACGTCCTTGAGGTGAGATCGAGCCTGCATTAAGCTCGATATAAATAGCTAATAATTTAAATTAGCTGCTAGAAAATTAGAATTTAGATGCAACGTTCGTAACCCTAGGTCAAAGTGATCCCAAGTTCCGTCAACCGAAGACTAACTGCATCAATTTGCTTTATGGAACTTTGATAATCTTTACACCTGATGAGTGTCCTAATGCTTCTGAACACAAGTGTTCTTGCGCTGTGCTCACATGAATTAATTCTATCGCGTAAACTTTTTACTACGTCGTCTAACAAAATCTAAATAACTGTACAGAGTGTCCTCGAGACGATTCGTAAAGTGATTTCAAGTAACTTTTTCCTTGGCGAAAATGTTCTCCGCGGCTTCGTTAACCGATTATTAACGAAAAACGGTGGCCAATCAGAGAGCGATCTACGAAGTTTGGCGTTATAGCGAACGCGCCGCGGCAGTGGTCACGAGGGCGTGGCGTCAATCGTACTCACTTTCTGATTAGTCCATGTTGTTAACTCGTTAGCAAAGCCGCCACCAATATTTTCACCAAAGAAAATGTCATTACTTCAAATCGCCTCAGGAATCGCCCATACAGGGTGTGACGAAAGTTCTGAGACACCCTGTAGATGAAACTCTGTTACTTATTATATTAGAGATACAGTTTCACAGCGCGTGTATAGCAGAATGCTCGGTTTTTGGAGCACGGTCGCAGGACTGCACGGCGCTTAGCCTATTTAAAAAAGAAGCGGATAGGAAAAGAGTTCACGTGTAGCGTATTTTTTGTCACGTTGTTTTCTACCGTCGGTGGAAGATTTACGTGCGAGTCCGTTCTATCGACCGCATTCTGCTCGTCGCCGGGAATAGAGATCAGTCTATCTAATAGTTCGCTTATCGTGCGGAACGGTTTCAAAGGAATATGGCTGTTCTATCGAGCATCGCGACGCGATCGCTTGAAATTGCTTTCCTCGGCGGACATCACGTGTATCGTAGCGCGTTCAGGCTTTTCACCCTGTAAACAAGTTTCACGCGTAAAATCTATCTTAGGCGCATCTATAATTAACCTGGTCACTCCGCTACATCCATAAATAAAGAGAGAGAAAATTTCAGATAAATCACGATGAAACTTTAAACGACAAATTAGTTCGAAGCGTCGAGGGCCCGGGCATTCCTGCTACTCCGGCCGGAGAAAGAAGAATTTAAAATTACGAGGCTTATGAAACCGATAGGTGGCCGATTATCTGTCATTCGGATACTTTATCTGACGATCCGGTCCTCGTATCTCGACGACTTTGCTAATAGAAGGCCGTTACAATGCGGTCGAACGTCGGTCGCCTTTCGTATTGTCAGCGTTCGTTAGCGTCAACTTCGTACCGTGTATCGTGAAACCCGAGCCACTGGGATTTTTTTTATCGATACAGTCGGGGAACGATGTCTCGAATCTTCGGGATGGATTTCGAGTTGACCGAAGGTTGGCCCGGGGACCTGATTCCTTGAATCGACTCAAACCTCGACTGGGTACAAAGTGCCGACGCGAACCTTGCGCTCGTTCCACGAACTTTCTTTTCTACCATCTTAGAATACATGAATATTACGTTGGACACTTCGCTGCAGTTTATAATCGGAAAATAACCGTAAAGTAGGAAGCCGTCGAACTAAGAAACGTAGGAGTTGTTGACACCGTTGCGGTGGTAAATCGGGGCAGGATGAGAAAATTAGTCTTCGTTGAATTTTCACGTTCAGTGCCGCGTCGGTCGTGAAATTTTTACCTTTGTCTTGAAATTCATTTTTATTGTAATTATCAGAATACCAAAAATCTAAACTACTATTTCTCGTGAAATTTCTAGTTTCGGTTTCATTGATTAAATGATATTGATATTGTGGGATTTTTGGGGTTGATATTCGGCATTGCAACAATTGCTGAACTATCGTGGATTGGGCTTCTAAAATATGAACATATACAGTGAGTCTCACTAATATTTGGACCCTTTTTAAAACGCAATGACTTTTTTAAAACTAGAATAAACGATTTGAATTTTTTTTTAGATGATAGTGGGATTAGTATACTAGACAATGACTGAACTACTTTGTTATAATTTTGTTATTACTAGGAATGACAAAACAAAATAAAAGATTTTTTACTTTTTTTATCTGAATCTATAACGAAAACTTAAAAAATGCGTTCGGCATACATGCCGAAAATTTCATCGAAATCGTTTAACACAAGTTGTAAAAACTGCAAATTTCTCATACCTATTAGTCGAAAGTATCAAAAATCAGGACAAAACTGCGATTCCTGCGATCTTTAGTTGATTACAGCTCATACCAAGCTCAACCGATTTCGGTGAAATTTTTAACACGCATATAACTTACCGAGATCTATGAAACATATTTTTTAAATTTTCGTTATAGGCTCAAATAATAAAAGTTAAAAAAATGACAGTTTTTAATTTTCTTTTATTATTTTAAGCAATAGCAAAATTTAAAAAAAAGACCTAGGCTAGTCTAGTAGACTGATCGCTCTACCACGTAACAAAAATCAAGTCGTTTAGCCCAGTTCTAAAAAAGTTATTGCGTTTTGAAAAGTGTCCAAATATTAACGGGAGTCACCGTATTTCTAAATTAGTGCATAAAATTCTTTCAAATTTTGTGATTATTTCTTCACTTTTCTATATCTGAAGATCCGTTTAGGGACGTTTATTAAAGTATTCAGCTCGTTGCAAACTCAATTACTGTAACAAGCAGTTCTATCTAACTAGAATATATTTTTTACGTAATCCGACTTTTAAAGCTTTATTGAAAACTGTCCATAATCACTGAAAGAGTCAAGCTTAGAAGAAACCCTGTACAAAATCGTCTTATAACACATTTACGACGAGTTCTCAAGCTAATAACTTACATGTAATGTTCAGTATCAGTCCCTTCTTGATTTGAAATATCTGCAGTAATTTCTTATACTATGATAAGCATTTTAGTTAAGGGCTTGACAAAATTATATGTTTGATATCCATATTTATGTGTGAAGCAACAATCCACGCTTATAACAAAATAGAATATATATATTAGAATCAATATTACTGAGTCGCTCGTTATTAATTTTTTCTCGAATTTCGTCGTGTTTCACTATTTTCTAGTATAAAAAGGAAAATAATTATATACATGATAATATATCATGTAATAATTATATCGATTTTAAAGAAATTAACAATATATACACATATTTATAATGGATTCTGTTGGAAATCTTCATCACAAATCTGTCTAGGTATTACATCGGAAGGGATTGATGTATAAATTGCGAGTCTATATAAAAGTTCGATTTCCGAAACTGGCGAATGTTAACATTCATACATTCGACTATTTTCTGTTTGTAGATATTGTAAAATGTTCAATTGCTGTCTGTTGGTATTGTGAAACGTATTTCTTGTAAATGTGAAGAGCTGTTAATTTAGAGCAAAACAATTTGTTTAATGTATTGAATGTAAAAAATGAATTTATGCTACTGAAAGCATGTTCGCAGACCACTGTGCGACGAAACGATAAAAACGCACAGTGCGGTCTATGCTGTGATGAAAAACCGAGAAATTGCTGTTCGATTATGA